CTATAAAAAAAAATGCATAATTACATATTGAAAAATTGTTGGAAAAAAAAAAAGCACTGGACAACAATAGAAAGCACGAATTTAATTAATATGGTTTCTATACAATTTGTATACAAAACGTATTCCCTAAATACGTTTTTTCAAATTTTTTTTACAAAACGAAACGTATTCGGAAGTGGCATGTCGTTTGGTAGACCCCAACCAAATCGGAAGATAATATCTTTCACCACGATATGGTGTCATGAAACCCGGTATAATTGGCATGGTCGATTTACGTGTGTGTTCATAAATATAAAATATATTATTATTTTAGTAAGGTTTAAAACAAAAAATATACTTGACCTTTTATTTTTTTTGCAACGAACAAATCTCTAACACGGTAATTTGCATCATAAATCTGTTTTAACGAACACAAAAATTATTACAACGTAAACAAATATTTTGACAGCAACTCAAATTGAAATCACATTAATTTGTAATAAATATGATGGTTGTATTAATATAAGGGGAATAATGTGGGGCCCCCATTTTCATATAAAGAAAATATGCCCATGCCATTTTTTTTTAATGCATTTAAAAGTGCATAAATATGATGGTTGTATTTAATATAAGGTGAATAATGTGGGGCCCCCTTTTTTATATAAAGAAAATATGCCATATCTATTTATGCATGGAAATAATGTAAAGAAAAATAGAGTTGTGCTGTCACATGCAAACATTTGTTTTTTTTTCTTATTCAACGCAATTATGGACAGCTTTTTATTAATATAAATGTTACTTTATATATGTATGTACTATATTCGTTTGGTAATAGCAACTTAATTTTTTTTTTTTTTTTTTACTTCAATTTTTTGTTTTAGTTGCAATTATTTGTAACTATTAATTTATAATAAAATTTATATTAATTATAATGTCAAACTTGGCCTAACCCGTAACTATAATACAGTATAATTTTTAAAATTCAATTTTCCACAGAGACCACAATACAGTATAATTTTTAAAAATCAAAAGATGATTTTAATCATGACACTTACTCCAAAAACATGTCAAAACTAATAGAAGTGCGCATAGAACAGGCTTATCAATAAATACGATATTGGTCTATTTTGCTTTTAATTAATAGAAGTGCGCATACAACAAGTTTATCAATAAATACGATGTTCTTATCTTCGGTTCTCCCACAGCGCTTGGGCTATGCTGTCACGCAACACACAATGCTCACCACCGCCGACGTTGGAGTTATTACTCGACATAAAAGGGAAAGTCCGATCAGTTGGATCATGTCGTCGTACGTATTCTGGGTTGTTGAATTCAGGCGGCATGTTTTCCAGCGGTTCATGCATCCGAATAAAATTATGTAGGACACAACATGCTATTACTATGTCGGTTTGGGAATGAACTTTGTAGTTTGGCATCAACCCCTTTATCATTGGAAACTTCCCCTTTAGCAAACCAAAACTGCGTTCGATAACATTACGGACAGTGGCATGTCGCCTGTTAAACAACTCACGAGCATTTCCAGGCAATTGGTTAGACCCCAACCACTCCGGAAGATGGTATCTTTCACCACGGTATGGTGTCATGAAACCCGGAATGTGTGCATATCTGGAGTCGACCACGTAGAATTTACCTGCAGGAACATACTTTTTTTACTTAATGGAAGGAATTTATAAATAGATTTTAAGTTGTATTTACCTAAACTACAGTATAACATTTTAACCGTGTCATGTTCAAATTACCGGGCGGTGGATAGGGGAAATTATATCTAGGGTCTGACAACGTCTGATTGAA